CTCTCTCACACACACACACACACACACACACTCTCTCACACACACACACACACACACGCACTCACACACACTCTCACACACACTCTCACACACACACCCTCTCTCTCACACACACACCCTCTCTCACACACACACACACTCTCTCACACACACCTCCTCGTGGTCCAGCGGCTCGTCCTCCGGCTCTCCTGCGCCGCTGCTGACCGTCAGATCCAGGTGCAGGTTTCTGTCCGGTTGTTTGTCCTGCGACGAGGGTCTGCTGCTGTTTGGGCTCTGATGGACGGATGAGGCCCGTACAGCTCGAGGAGGCAGCGGAGAGCGTTTTCTGGAGCTCACCTCACCTGTGACATCATCAGAGGGGCTCATTAACGAACAGCATGTGAAGAAATGACATGGGAAATGCATGACATCATTTCCTTTTCAATGGCTATAATGAGCAGATGATGACTGATGCACGATTGTTACATTTTCTGTTTTGACATTGTAATATAATTATGGTTGTCAAGCAATTAAAAATGTTAATCTAATTAATTACATGAATTAATAAAATCAATTTGATAAATTGAAGTCATTATGTATTGATGATAAAAGCATTGAATAAATAAAACAAATAAGTAGCTTTAAAAATAAATATTTTGATTCAACACAGAATAAATAATGATAATACATGGGTATTAATGTTTCCTTTTAAAAAGTGAATACTGAAATATAAACTGATAAAGAAAAATGAAATGATACTCTAAATATGACACCAAAAATGCCATGTTTTAATGAGAAAGTCACTGAATCATTCATTCAACCAAATGGCTGATTTCTTTCAGAAATTCAGCAAGTGACAGTCTTTATGAGTGAGTCACTGAATCACTGACTCACTTGATTCATTCAGAAACGTGGATTCATTCAAGATGAATCACAGCTGTGTGTCATAGGCGCTCAGCTGCTCTGCTGTGACTTTGCTTCAAACTATTGTTGTTTGCCAAATTGAGCAAAACTGCGTCTAAAAATGAACATAATACTAACTTTATTGAACTGTTGCATCACATTTGCAATCATGCAGATATTGGGCAAATGCATTAAATACCTTAATCATTTTAACGTGTTATTTTTACCTAAATTAATTGCACCAAATTGAACGTGTTAATTCAACACATCCCCAAATATAACTCAATAACTGAAGTAGTTTTGTGTTTGATGGCTTTTGTATTTTTGTTGTATGTTCACTAGTGAACTACTGATTCAGTTTGTTCTGTGGTTTGATTAGTTTCGAACAGCTCTAAAGTGTATGTAGGCAGAATCGTGTGTCCTGACCAGAGCCGTCGCTCCTGCGGTGAGGGCTGATGTCAGGTTTGTTGGGCCACGTGTTGGACATGGACAGCGAGGGGTCAGCGTGGTTTCTGCGCGGTAAGGTCGGGGTCAGCAGACTCTCTGTTAGCGCGGTCAGCGGGTACGAGGGCAGAAGAAACGAGCCCGGAGGTGTGGAGCTAGTCGGGAGGGAGAAGGTTCGCTCAACGCTGCCCGACGGGAAACGACTCGTCTTGGGCAAACCTGTGAAAGAAATTCACACTCGATATGTTCTGTTCAGTGATGAATGACAATGTGACAAACAAAAACAATGACTTAATATCACACTTTAGTCCTCATAAGAGTTATCATCAACTAAAACTATTGAAAACATTTTTGTTGTTGCTGAAATAAAATATAAACGTGTGTCCCTGCAGCACAAAAGCAGTGTTAAGTCGCTGGGGGATATTTGTAGCAATAGCCAACAATACATTGTATGGGTCACAATTATACATTTCTCTTTTATGCCAAAAATCATTAGGATATTAAGTAAAGATCATGTTCCATGAAGATATTTTGTAAACGTCCTACCGTAAATATATCAAAACTTAATGTTTGATTAGTAATATGCATTGCTAAGAACTTCATTTGAACAACTTTAAAGACGAGATATCTCTGCCAAATATTGTCCGATCCTAACAAACCATAAATCAATGGAAAGCTTATTTATTCAGATTTCAGATGATGTATAAATCTCAATTTCAAAAAATTGCCCCTTATGACTGGTTTTGTGCTCCAGGGTCATATATTAGATGAAAACCTTACTAAACTGAACAAAAATGTAAAATGTTGCCGTGGCAACCAACTGGCTGAGACACTAAAATTACTAACCAAACATGAAAAACTAAAACTGAAAATAAATTAAACCTAAATATAAAAATTACTAAAATGTAAAAATGTTTAACTAAACTAAAAAAGATAAAAATAAAAGTTAAATGAAAATATTAATAAAAACTCTATATTAATAAATTAATAATGCTAAAGTAACACTGGTTCTAATTCATTACGGTTCCCAAGCTGTGCCACCAACTTTGCAGAGAAAACTTGAATAAAATCACATTAAACTGTGATCTGAACATATATGTATAAAAGCTGTCTTCAGCACGACCCCGTCTGACACGCACGAGCGATCAGTGGCGTCACCTTTCTCAGACTCGGAGCGATTGGCCGCTTTGAAAATGTCTGGATCCGAGTCCAAACTCCCGCTGCGGCGCAGTCGACCCAGAGACCTGCGAGTCCGGCCTGGAGACCGGAGAGGTTCTGATGGACCTGGACCAGAACACAAGACAGTACCGCTATCTGAGCCTTCACCAGATCTGTGTGCTTCAGCGGATTTCATTAATGTTACTATCACTATATTATTGTTAAGGGTTACTGATGCCTAAATAAAATCAATTCTAGCACTCCAATCGCTTCATATAATAAATTCAACACGAGGATGGATGGGCCTCTGGGTAACAGAGCTGCTGTGGTTCATGAGCTCAAACTGTCTCTCAAGACAAGACTGAAGAGCGTTCTTACTGTATTTGGCTCCAGTGTGTCTCATGGATGAGGATGGATCTTCACTGCTAACCTGCTGGAATAAACATATAACTTCAATCAGTCTGAGACAAAACTACATACATCCATCACGTCTTTAGCATGGAGGATGTTTCCAATCAAAACCACACGAGACCTTCATCACACCGAGACCTCAAAGCCATTGATCCACATCGACACACTCAACCGAAGAACTTTGAAACCGCTGAAATGCTTGAAAACCAACTTAACAGGCGTGACACTGCACTGCAAAAACTGCTGCTCTTCCTCAGTATTCCTGTCTTGTTTTACGGTACAAACATCTAAACATTCTTAAATCAAGATACATCTGCTGGAGATTCACAATGACTGAAGATAAAAAGAGAAATTCATCAAAATGAAGTGCGTTTACGCTTAAAACGAGAACAAATATCTGCTAAAGGAGTCAGAAAAAAAATGGAGAATCAAGTAAAGCTGAGCTGCTTCAGTGCAGTAAGTGTTCATCTGGAGATATTGCTGACGTTATTCTGACCTTTACTTGATCAAAACCAGTCCAGATTTGACACGAGAAGCTCCAGCTGAAGCTGGACATTTCTACAATTACACTAAAAGAGCTTTGACTGGATAAAACACTCTAAATATCAATCAGAGACAGAAGACATGCAGTAGAAAACAGCAGAGTTTAGTCATTTAAAGGTCATGCCGTGGCTTTATAAGGTTTCAGAGAGCTCCGCTGATCTCAGGTGTGTGTGTGATGATGCTGATGTCATCGCTCACCTGATCAGGTGACCTTCCATTGGTCTGAAGCTCCACAGAGAGGGCCGATCTCTCCCAGGGCAGCTTGTTCTTCCCAGCGCTCACCATCCTCCTCTGCTGAGGCGCGTTATCCGTCGGATCCACGTCTGAGCGAGAGCTGTGACCCCGGCCTCCGTTCAGAACCCAGTCCAGATCGGCCCCGGAGCCCTGCTGAGGCGTCCGTCTCTGTCCTGGTTTAGGAAGAGCGAGTGCGTACTCGACGGTGCCGTCGGCGGAGAGCCGAGGGAGTATGTGCCGCGTGCGCCGCGCCTGTACAGCAGCCATCAGGCCCTCGGCGTCTCCGGAGAGCTCCACTCGATCCACGGCCCTCATGAGCGGCTGCTTCTTACCTAGAGGTGGGGGATACCTATTAAGTTCTGTATCAGTTACAAAATATTATTACTTACCTATAAGGCCCTTAGTTTCATGTTTAAAATAACAAAATATTAGTTATGCATTTGTAACTGCAGGTTAAATGCATTCATGTCCCTCTGAGCTGAATTAAATAGTGTAAATAGGCCGACATCTTCAGATGCAGCTTCTGTGTTTCCTCTGGATTGCAAAGATTAATTTTGTTGATACTGATATCATTTGTTTGGTAACAGCCCAAATGTCTTATTATTCTAATTGACTGATTAAATGTAAGAATTTGACTTAAAAGATGATGCACACACACACACACACACTCACACACACACGCTCGCACACACATGCTCGCACACACACACGCTCGCACACACAGTCGCACACACACACTCACTCACACACACACACACACTCACACACACGCTCGCACACACACACGCTCACTCACACGCTCACTCACACACACACACACAGTCGCACACACACACAGTTGCACAATCGCACACACACACACACACACACACACGCTCGCACACACACACACAGTCGCACACACACAGTCGCACACACATACACACGCGCTCACACACACTCACACGCACACACACTAAGACCGAGCAGACTCACACATGCTTGAGCTTGAGCTCGGCTGCAACTTGAAAGTTAAGTTGCGTGACATAAATGCAATGTTTAGGTATTATTATTCAGATTTATGCCTTAGTTTTATTTTGTACCCTTTTTTTTAAGTAATGTGAAATTGATTTTTGTATTTTTATTTATATTTTATTGATATATTTCTATTTGCATTTTGAATGTAATTTGTCAATCAAATGCATTCAATGGGTTTAGTTTTAACTGTAATTAATGTATGCAATTTCAGCAGGAAAAATATGAATTTTTCTAAAAACGAAACAAATTAGTTTACATACCGGAATAAAATCGCTTTGGATAAAAGCATCTGCTAAATGCATAAATAATAATTATTATTATTTTAAGAGACCCATCTTATTTTCTCTTGTATATCTAGTCTTGCTCTTTAATAAAGAAAACGACTTATCCGACTACTCGATTAATCGATCGCAGAATACTCGATTACTAAAACAATCGATAGCTGATCATGTAAGCGTTATAAGACAGTGAGGTGATCCTTCAGCATGAGTGCGTGTTGTAGCGCAACTCAAACCCGTTACCGCAGACCGCTCTCCTCCAGACGCGGAGTTTGTCTGAAGCTCGGAGCTCTTCTGTCGGACTCTGCTCCTCTCGCTGCTCCCATCACAACACTCGGGCAAAATGGCGCTGATGTCACAACTAGCCGCTGCCATGGCGACGCGCCCCCTGACCCCACACTGGCTGGCGGGCGCGGTGCATTGTGGGAGGTGGAGTCCGTGCGCGCAACGGACACATTTGCATGTGAACACAGAGTGTTTTTTCTTTCTTTTCTGTGTGTGTGTGTCTGTCTGTGTGTGTCTGTCTGTGTGTGTGTGTTGTCTAGACAGCAGCAGTTTTGAGCCTCTGCTGTCTAGGTAGGTGTCGAGGATGCTATTTGAGAGGCAGTAGTATGTAGGGAGCACAGAAACACAGTGTGATTTGAACAAACTCCTCGATCCGAGCTGATGATTCATGCCAGACAATTACAGTAACAAAGCATTAGATGAAGAACAAACAATGATAAGAAAAATGGGAAATATTGCAACAGCAAACAGTAACATAATATTAAAATTAGGCAGGTAATAAATGAAAATGAGATATGATATACAGTAACAAATAACAGTACAATAGTATTAAAAATAAGATGAAAATAGTCAAATAAATGATATATGACCCTGGAGCACAAAACCAGTCATAAGGGTCAATTTGATGAAATTGAGATGTATGCATCATCTGAAGCTGAATAAATAATCTTTCCATTGATGTATGGTTTGTTAGGATAGCACAATATTTGAAAATCTGGAATCTGAGGGTGCAAAAAAATCTAAATATTGAGAAAATCATCTTTAAAGTTGTTCAAATGAAGTTCTTAGCAATGCATATTACTAATCAAACATTAAGTTTTGATATATTAACGGTAGGACATTTACAAAATATCTTCATGGAACATGATCTTTACTTAATATCCTAATGATTTTTGGCATAAAAGAGAAATGTATAATTGTGACCCATACAATGTATTGTTGGCTATTGCTACAAATATCCCCCAGCGACTTAACACTGCTTCTGTGCTGCAGGGACACATGTGTATATGTCAATCCAAAATTGACCTGAGACTCGAATATATTGCCCCAAATATATATATACATTGTCACTTTTTAATCTGTTTACTCTGTGTCAGAAACAGGCTTCCAGCTCGTTGGAAGTGAACTGTGTTCTGACTGGTATGATCCCTATAGGCTTCCAGTGTTTTCTGAGGGTGTGCAGGTGAAACATGATCAGTTTGGGTAATTGCATTTGCATTTATTTCTGTATTTGTGAACTGTAAGACTGTGGCAGCGCTCTGAGAGATTGCTGAGGTGTTTCTCAGAGCTCCTGACTGCTGCTGATCTTCTGGGAGTTTAATGTCCCTCGTGAGGCACGCTCTCCTGAGTCTCTGATTCTGTGCTTCATCCTCAAACCCCAGTGAGCTGCTGTCTTACACTGCCTCTCATTAGATCCCGTTACTCTTCGAGTGAAACATTATTAAACATGTTCCAAACTCAGGTTCGGTGGCATCATAAACACCCACTGTACAGTCAAACCAACATATATTCAGACACCTTCAACATTTCTCACATTATATCAGTTTATTCACTATAGTTTAGAAAACGGAGTTGAACTGTGTCAGAACAAATTAATCTTGATAATGTCAGATAAGTTTGATAGAAAGGTATGTAATGAATTGGGTTGAATAGCTGTCAGCTGTTACATTTAAGAACACAGTTAGATAAAACCCATTTAGCTCGACTAATTAGCAAGCAGTGCTTCATTTAGTTCAGTCTGTGGTGTAAAAGATCACATTAGCAATTAAAGAAAAACTCTTCAGCAAAACATGCTCGGCTCAAAGTGTCTGAATCCTTTTTTGATCCCAAATGTTTCTGATAGTCCACTGTATGAAGAGTTTTTAGGTATAATATTTCACAGTGCTTTATTTTGCTCTCATCACTTACATAAATGAACTATAGTGTCGTGCACGCACTAGTAACAAAATTATATCTAATGTCTTAATAATTATTGGTTTGACTGTATATAACTAGTTGTGAAGTTCATATGTGAGCCTGCAGCACAAAAGCAGTGTTAAGCAGCACAGGTATATTTGTAGCAATAGCCAACAATACATTGTATGGGTCACAATTATACATTTCTCTTTTATGCCAAAAATCATTAGGATATTAAGTAAAGATCATGTTCCATGAAGATATTTTGTAAATGTTCTACCGTAAATATATCAAAACTTAATGTTTGATTAGTAATATGCATTGCTAAGAACTTCATTTGAACAACTTTAAAGATGATTTTCTCAATATTTAGATTGTTTTGCACCCTCAGATTCCAGATTTTCAAATATTGTGCTATCCTAACAAACCATACATCAATGGAAAGATTATTATTCAGCTTCAGATGATGCATAAATCTCAATTTCCAAAAATGGACTCTTATGACTGGTTTTGGGTCACATATAAAGCGTGTGTGTCGTCTGTGTGTCTGTCAGATGGAGCAGCAGGCCAAGCCGTACATGTTTGCGAGCCTGACGCGCCCTCACTCCGAGCAGCTCCTGCAGGGTCTGCAGCTCCTGCGGCAGGATCACGAGCTCTGCGACATCGTGCTGCGGGTCGGAGACGCCAAGATCCATGCGCACAAAGTGGTTCTGGCCAGCATCAGCCCGTACTTCAAGGCCATGTTCACCGGAAACCTGTCTGAGAAAGAGACGTCCGAGGTGGAGTTCCAGTGCGTCGATGAAGCCTCTCTCAAGGTACATCCATCTCTAACATCCAAACACACCAGAACGGCATGCAGGACAATCAGCCGCTTTCAAATCATATCTCTTCTGGACCAATTCCTATATGTTCAGGTCATATTTGAGCCCCACCCCAAAAAAAACAGCTCATGTTTAGTCCCATTTTTGCCTCTGATAAACTATTTTCAAAATAATTAATACGAGTGCAAAACAGACATGCGCAATTATACACACTCAAATAAATTGGTATGGCTATTAACATACCATACATGAAATAAGAGGTTGAAATCAGATCAGACCCAGAAGGATTAAGCTCTGATAAAACATTTCTGTTAATTTCTGTTACATTTTTATAGAATTTTAATGTTTTGTGTTACAAAATGCTTTCTCTGTGTTCAGGTTTGACTGTAGTAGTAATAATTCAAAAACTGACGCTTCAAATCAACATGTCAAACCGAAAAGAAATCTACACCTTTACAAAAAGTTGTCTTTGAGAATGTCTAAATATATATCCAAGTCCACAACTAGGGCTGGACGATATGGCCAAAATTTATATCACGATATATTTCTTAATTTCGGGTCGATACGATATAATTCCGATATCGATATGAACACTATTTAAAAGAAGCCTCATAAAAACGGCCAAGAATGCCCACAACAGATGTCTGTACCTACAAACTTATGAAAAATTAATTTACCAACTCTATGAAACCTACTCCTATAAAACTATATAATATTTTAGAGAAAAAAACAGCACAAATAAATAAATGTTCACATTTTATTTGTATTTAGCCTTCATACAAACAAGAAATGTGAAATCACTGTCAAATAAACATCTCAGACTCTCCTTATTAATTATTAATATCTTCTAACATACCAGTCAAAAGTTCTTGAACAGTAAGATTTTTATTGTTTTTAAAGAAGTCGCTTCTGCTCACCAAGCCTGCATTTATTTGATCCAAAATACAGCAAAAACAGTAACATTTTGAAATAATTTTACTATTTAGAATAACTCTTTTCTATTTGGAAATATTTTAAAATGTAATTTATTCCTGTGATTTCAAAGCTATATTTTTAGCATCATTACTCCAGTCACATGATCCTTCAGAAATCATTCTAATATTCTGAT